TGTGATGATAAAATTTGTCAGAAATGATGATAGCATCACAGATATCATAGTAATCCATTAAGAGTATTTCCTGTAAATAAACTGTCCTTTTATTGACAAAAAAAAGGTATGTAGTTTCAGCTGCTTAGATAATCCAAAATAAAAACTTCAATTGGAATTTGCACTATTAAGTTATCTCTTGTTTTTTTTCTAAATTTGACTATGTATAAGAAAAATGATTGTTAACACATAATGAGTGCATAACATCCTAATGATCATCTGACTTATGAATCAAGGCTATATGAATAAAATATAATATAAAATCAACTCAAATTAACATCAGACCATTTATTTTCTTTGTTTATAAAAATATGCTATTTTCTTAGCTTCTTGAAAATTCAAATTCAGACCTGATCCTCTGTCAACAACTTTACAGAAAATTAAAAAATAAAAATTAAAAAATTAAAAACCTAAGTTCTTACTCCAACAATAAAAATATACAAAAAAATCAGAAATTATTACCCTTTCTAATCTGATGCATATAACCTTGTAGAATCAATTAGGTATGTTAACAATATTTCTATGATGAAATGATCAAAAATTGTCTTTCTCCAAACTTAGAAAATTGAGGAATTCTGAAATGCACTCTGTAACACTATTTCCCTATCTATTAATCCACCTTCTTATTTACCTAAACTCCAGCAAACATACCATTAGGTAATATTTGGTCAATCTATCAAGTCTCATCCATGTATCAAAAAAGCTATTTCTCATCACTATTACAGATCTTCACCCTACGTCCTCAGATAAACTTTGAATATTATAAAAATATTCTTATATTTTTATGAGAAAATATTCAGCTAACAACCTTCTGTACCTTAGATTCTTCATTAGTAAATAAGAAGTTAGGATTGATAAGCAATTAGTAGAATTCGTAGCTCTAGCATTGTCAAGAAAGAAATCTCATCAACACACCTTTTCTTTGAAAGATTTATCTTTTTATTACACAAACTTGTTCAACCAAGCTTGATTTGTATTCTTGTTATCAATTGATAGACAATGATAAATAAACCAGAGCCTTGATAAATTGGCCAGAGCAAAACTTATCTCAGACAAGAACACTTTTAGAAAAGAAAGGTAACTATTTACACATTTTTATCGGATAAAAAGCCAACCCACAGATACAAAAAGAGGTGGTTAGCTGTGCTGCATTTTAGGGCTAACTTATCTTGACCAACAATACAGTCTTTCTAATTTAATCATTAGTCAAAATAATTAAGAAATCTTTAAAAAATTAAATTGTAAGAAATCATACTCTATAGAAATACATTTCCCATTTTGCTACTTAATAATTTTAAAACTCTACAGATATCTCCTAAAGAGTCCTCATACTTTAAAGCAAATTGTCGCTTTGAGATATTAATAAACAATTTCAAAACTAATAGACAATTAAGTGAAAGTGTCTGTAACTAACTGACAATGTATGTGCCACCTGAACTCACACTGTCTGCATAACACATCTAGGGAGGTATTTCCCAGGAGCTAACTTTTAACTTTACTTTTTCTCTATTATAGATTTCATCAAGTTTGAATTTAAAAAAACAAATGGTAAGACACAATATTAATAATCCTACCAAATACTGCATTTGTTATCACAGACACATACCATCTTTTAACTGATTTCTAATTAAGTAACCAAAGGGAACAAATCTGCTTTCCTTGCAAGGTTGGATTAGCACACACTCTGGAAGCCAGCACCATTTCACCTGCTGATCCTGGGCACTCAAAACAACACTTCAGCAAAGTTCAGTACCAATAGCTGACAAGCTACCAAAATTCCTTCTAAATTTTTTTTTCTGAAATTTTATCAACATTTTGTAAGACATATTGTCTTACCTACCAAAAGCTGAATACCATTCTAATTTTAAAAAAGCTTCAATTAGGTATTAATTTTCTTAGTATTCAATTATTGATAGCTCTTATTCAAACAGCTGCTAAAACTCATATAGGAAATCATCTTTCTTAATACAACCATACTGCAGTCAATATAAATTCCAGGAAAATCTCAGGTCCTATCTATAGTAAGTCATGGCCTGTCTTTTTAGCGTGAGTCCTCTCTCTCTCTCTCTCTCTCTCTCTCTCTCTCTCTCTCTCTCTCACACACACACACACACACACACACACACACACACACACACAGTCCTGAGATAAAACAAATATATGAAACATAAACTTAAAGCTGATATAATGCCAGTTTCTTAAAATTCTACCTAATCTTTACCTAATTTTTTTACACTAAATCTTAGTTAAGATTAAAAATTTTTAATACATATGTTAAAGTTTCCCTAGTTTGGATTTTCAAACTAAAATGACTATGCAAAATCAATTTATTTTATCCATTCACTTCCAAGATATTTCTCTTGCATTATTTTCTTTAGAGTTTAACTTTATTATGAACCCAGAACTTTTTCAGTCTTTAATGATCTAATTTTATATGAAAAAGACTGTTTTAAATTTATTTTTGGGTTTAGTACTGAACCACACAACTGCACCTCAGGGAAATCAATAAGTTATAGTACGATGTTAGAGTATAATACCTTTATTTAGAAACTGATATAAAATCTTACTCATTCCTCAACTACAAATATAAAGACTTGTTTTAGTGCTTGACACTGAGTTTATTTTTCCCTTATGTGTTGATTCGGAATTTGAAGTCAATGTTTCTCCTTTAAGCATTAATGTAATATAATTTATTTTTGGACATATATCAGGCAACAAGAATAGATGTATATAAATATGCCTCTCACAAAGCAAAAAGCACCAAATGTCTTAAAATACCAAACATAAAAATCCTGCAATATGAATATCTAAAGTGTCATATAATTTTCAAGATATTTCATTAAAAATGAGAAGGAAAATCCAACAGCACCTGATCCTTATACTTCACTATTTCTCACATTACTTGGCTTTATAAACAGAAGTTTATTTTTCTATCATTTATTTGGTGTACTACTGAGATGTTTGTTTACAAGTGTTTCAGGTATGTACCCATTTTGAAAATAAAAAATTGAAAGCATAGAAATTTTTTTCTGATATTCTTAGAACGTTACTGAAGGCCCAATGTGAAAAGAAAAATCTGTATTTTCAGTTAAATAATCCATTTGGCAAATTCATAGAATAATGTGCTTTGAACATTTAGTTCATCAGTCTTCACTGAAGAATTTCTCAGTTTCCACATTTTTAAATAAACAGCTGCCATAAAATACTCATGTCTACATGTGTGTGCAACATGCTGAAGAAGAACTGCTATATTCATTCCTCCTTAATCAAGTGTCCTTTCCCAGCATCTCTTATAGTCAGAGGGACTTTAGGAGGCCTTTTACTGTGGCATATGTTTGAATTCCAAATAATAAACAAAACCAGCAGAGGGCAGAACTGCTGACAGGATTGACCAATCCAAGTGGTGACCAGGTACCAAAGGTAAAATGCAAAATTTTTGATGTATTCTACTCTCAAAGATGCCCATTTGTCCTTTAAAATGTGGAAATGAAGTAACATAATCCATATAACGCATTTCAAAATTCAAATATAGTCGTCGTTAGAAGTTCTAACTGTAGTCACCAAGAAACTTCACAGGCAAGAGTAATCTAGCGCTGCCTGCCACTCTGGAAGGTGAAAACCAAAGCGTGCAGTAGGCATACCGATGTGGTGGCAGGGTCTGACTTCCAGGAGCGCTAACTCTCATGAGGGAGAGCTCAGATCTTGGCATCTGACCCAGGACCAGGCTCGGGTTTCTGCTAAACTGCCCATTTGGGGCTGGCATTTTTTTTTTTTTTTCATTTGTTTCTCCCTTATCCTCTCTTCTCCAACCTCCTTCCTATTCCCGGGGCTACTCTCCGCACTTTTGAAAAAGCTTGCTTCCTACTGTAAATTGCTGGCGCTCCCAGAACTCCAAAGGCTTTCGCCTGCCAGCCTTGTCTACAGCACCTAACGGACCGCAGCCTCCAGATGCTTTTTCGGGAAAGGGAGGGGCCAGGGAGGGAGGAGGCCGAGGGGAGGAGTGAAGTCGCTCTCCCTCCTTGGGTACTGACAGGGCTGCAGTCTTCTGAGCAGGTCTGGTCATTCAATATTTGGTGGTGCCACGTAGGAACTTTTCCTTACCTCTCTCCTCCCACCCCCCCCCACGCCCCCTCCCCTTCCCTCCCAATCCCTATTCCTCCACCCCCACCCCATTTGCTTGGCGACTTTCATCATTCTCCAAAAGAACTGCACGTCCAACCTGCAAGAAGAAGTATTTGGGGGCGCGGGGGAGGGGGATCTCATAGAAGGAGGGAGCTGAAATTCAGAGAAAAGTGTTCTCCCTATCTTGAGCCCTTTCCTTATAATCTGTGGAGTGTTTTCCACTGAAAATCTCTTCAAAGTGACCCACACAAACACACACACACACACACATACACCACTCACAAAGTGTTCTCAATCTTCCAGATTCATCCCCCCCCCCAGGTTTCTCTTATATCCCCCAAAGTAAAACAGCCTGTTTCTCACTTCGTTGCAGACAAAGAACTTTATCAAGGTTCATTTTATACCCTTTCTCTATATTTTCTCCTCAGCTCACCCTTAAAAAGATATTCCCACTAGTTAGGACCCGAAGAAACCAAAAAAGATTTGTTCAAAGGGCAGTTCTGAGAACTGTACCTCAAACAAAAAGCTTTGTACAACTGCCCCTCTGTTCAAGGTAATATTTTTCCTCCTTTTCAAAGAGACTGGAAAGTGGCGAAAGGCATTTTCAGCCAGCTCTGTGCCTGACAGATCTTTTTCCCTGCTACCTACCTCCTCTCCCATTACTGTCCCGCCTACATCCATCCCTCAAGGCTCCACTTTCCACTTCCAACCTGGTGGCAGCTACAATCTGGATTTTATTTAAGAGAATTTTTTGAGGGGGAAGGGGGAGGGGCGCAAAAAAAAAAAGGAGAAAGACCGACGGCAATATCCCACCCACCCCCCAAATCCATTTTCCTTACCTCCTCTGACCTCTCTAACTTGGAGGAAGAAAGTCAGTGCGAGGGTTGTTATGGTGAAATCCCAGAGCCACCGTTTCGTTTTCCACCTAGAGGACCAAGGCTCCATCTCCGAGCCCCGCGCTCACAACTGTGAACTCAACCCACGAATTGCGATTGCAGACCGACTTCGTCCCTTCCAAGATTTTGCCGATGTTTGCTACACAGCCATTGGGGAGGGAGAGGAGGTAAAAAGTCAAAGGGCTTTTTTTTTTTTTTTCTTTTAAATTTGATGGTTTGCTTCCTTCCTGTCTCTCGCCCCCTCCTCTCCCTCTCACTTGGCCCCGCCGACTGGGACCCTCCGATCCGTCCTCGGCCGGGCCCTGCCTTCAGACTGAAAGCAGATGAGGGGCTTCAACCAAAAAGCTGAGAGCACTGCGTACCCCTAAAGGTTTCATGCCGTCAGTGGGCCGGACGAGAAGCTCCGGGCAGCCCCCTCCTCCGCCCACTCTCCTCCCCGCCCTCCCTGCGCCCCCCTTCCCTTACCCCGGGCGAAACTGACTAGCAGACTGAGGGTCAGACCCAATCACGTGCCTCTCGGGAGGCTCGGAGCCCGCCCCCCTCTCCCTCTGCCCAAGAATCAGGACTTCTGCAGGCCCAGCCCACCAACTAACCCCCCAACTCTCCATTCCTCTCCTCCCTCCTCTCCTACCCAAATCCCCGAGAAGAAATGGGAGGGAGCTACGCGGGACGCGTGCTTGGCTCCTGCACTTTGGGAATGAAAGGAATTGCAGGAGAGCCCCAGAGCACACGGAGTTTTCAAGGAGCTTCTGTATTCAATAAAAACAGCTACTTGTCTACTTGCACCCTTCTGTTAGCCTCTCGTTCGTCCGAGGGGGAGGGGAGAAGGCCAGCAGCGTTTGATCGGCCACACCGCTGGAGTCCTGGGCTGGCAGCCGTAACCTTATCCTTGTGGCAAAAATCTGCTTCGTGTGGCAGACGTGGAATCAGCGGACTCATTGCGCTGACTGCTCCGAAAAGTATTTTTACTATTTTTTTAAACCGAGAATAAGAAATGAATGAAGGTGGCGTGGACGGGCCCTAGAGGTCAAAACCCATGAGTTTATAAACTCATTGAGCATCTGAGAGTGACAGGTTTCTCTGTAATGGTTTAAACTCAGCAATAGGTTCATTCAGGGGCTTGCCTCAAAGAGTTGAACTGTACTCTGAGGGAGGAGGAGAAAGAAATTTATGGGAGCTGACATTAAGGGGTGAGTAATTTAATTTTCCAGCTGATTCTGTCCTGATCCCGGATGAGGGTGGCACAGAGGGAGGAGAAAAGAAAAGGAAAGCGACTAGGAGAAACTCTCAAGTGGTTGGGCCCACTGCTCCAAATAAGGGGCCTGGCCCTGGCCCTCTGGGCCTCAGGGACTGAAAACATGGTCACTCCACAGGGAAAGTAATGAGGAGAGACAAGCTTCTAAATTCCCTCTTTACTTACCCCATCCTCAAGATAATCCTCTTAAACCTGGAATTTAGAGTACTTCATCGTTTATTCCACATTTAAATGACACCATCCTATTGACTTCTCCTTTTCTTAATATTTCCCTCAGATATTTCTTGCAAAGATTTTGTAGAATCATGTGTAACAGTGCTAGCATACATTAACCAGTCAATAGAATGTGTTGAATGAATGAATACATTTTTCTGTTGACAAAGACTAAAAACCTTAGCTAGGTCCTACTTTAAGTATTTAGGACATTTGACTATTTAATGGTCTTCAACTAAATTTACCAGATACATATATTCCATTCTACATTTGCCCCCAAAATTCTATTAGTCACCAAGATAGGACTCATGACCCATTAGATTATATCAAATATTTTCTTCATATAATTTAAGAGCTGGAAGAAAAGCCATAAGAGACTCGATTGAGCACCAAAATGAAATTGTTCAACAACAGAAATTAAGGCATATAAAATGAGGAAAGCAACTAGAAAAAACTTTTATATGAGGCATATAAATGATGAAAGCATCTATAATGTCACTCTCTGTGACAAAGAACCACTCCCTCACCAACAGTTTATCTTTTAAATCACAGGTTAAAAATCTAATAAAGTTTTATAATGTTGCTGGTAGGGTGTTTGAGATGCCTCAAATCAATTGCAAAGAATTATGACCAACTAGCTCTTCAAAGTACAACCTCAAATTGTTAACATAATTTAATATAATAATTTGATGTCCTATGAACCTAGAATGTATAATTACAAATTAAGAACTTTACAATGGGACATAAGTCAATTTACTATCTTCATTACTCTTCATCCTCTCACAAATGAAAAATTTGTATATATTTGTGGACTCCAAATTTTTTTGAAATCTGACTTTACTGTTCAATTATCTTTATATATGTAAAATTATTTTCTAGGTCTTCTTTTAAATGCAAAACGGTATAGTGATTACAACTTTAGAAAAACATATTTGAGAGGTTTTCAGACTTTTATTTTGGTTGAATAGAGTTACAATGCTTATCACATATGTATAGAGATGGTGTTCCAAATTGTTTCTCAATTGCTCTCCTGATTTTTTGAGAGTTCCATGACCTGATACTATTTTAGAAAGTGAGAAATGATGCAGTCAACCTAGCAGACACTACTTTCTGGTTTCATCTCAGACTTTCTCCTTGCTTGTGAAAGGGTCCTTTCAGGCAAAGCATCTTGGGTGAATAGAGTTATTACCACCTTATACTTTCTGTACTCTGTGGTCTGAATTCCTCTGGCTGCTGCCCAGCTAGGCATAACCTGAGTCTGAATTAATGCCTCTGGAAGGAAACAGTAGACTCATGGTGAAGTGAATTTATTTCTAACCTCTCTAACCTGTAACCAGCTGTCCGACTTAGAGTATCCTGAAATCTGCCCATGAATTTATAGGAGATAAGCTCAATGAAGGGAAGGATAATACCAAACAACAAAGGAAGCAGAGAAAAACCAGAATAGACCCATCTCAGCAACCTTCAGTCTTACACTGGAGAACTCTGGGGAAATTATGACTGGGGCTACCTTTCAGACAGTCTTTGCTAATTATTTGTACACAAAATCAAAATGTAAGAGGATATGATAATATCCTTGATATAGATCTTTAGTTTGAAGCACAATTAGTGATGTATTTCCATTTGGTCAACAATGTTTAAAGATATTTGCTTAACCTTGTGAAATCAGTTCTGATTTGCATGCCTTACAAAAAAAAAAAAGAAATGGAAAAAAAATAGAGAAAAAGAATTTGGTGACAGAGAAGTACAATGAAGGAATCTTACATGTTCTAAACAAACTTCAGAGTCCATAGAACTTTATTAAATATTGTAAAAAGCTCACAGGTTAACCTTAATGTCTTCACATATCTGTAGGTATCACAAGCCTCAGATTCAGACTCAGTGTTTCAAACATTGAAACCTCAATGACCAAAGAGAAATTGAAGACATATTGTCCATAGCTGGACAGCCCTAATACAAACAGTATTGGAGGATCAGAGGTAGAGATAACTACTTAATAATCCTTAAATTGCTACAGGTAGAATTAGGGGAAAGAAGAAGTAGATTAAGTAGTATGATGTTAGAAATGATATGTCACCTTTTAAATCACTTGACCTTTGTTCTCTTTGCCTCATTCTGAAGTTTTATCTTCTCTATTTTTGATAGATAAAAATTAGATATTTTTTTTCAAATCCTTTACCATCATTAAAATTACTGCATCAAATCTGACTTACTGAATGAGATATTACCAGGGAGAACACATGCACAACTCAAAAATATGTAAAAGAAAGTTGCTCTTGAATGTATCGTCGGTCTTACTCTAACCAATGGTTTGCCTCTCTCACCCTTCTCTGAACTTCAGGTCAATTATTTTAAGACATGACTAAGCAGTTTGACATTTATTTTACAGTTTTTCTATTACTTGGGTAGTAGAAATTAGTCTCTTTAAAAGTGAAGTTAGTCCTTCTTACCTCACAGATGGGCCATTGTATTGTAGAAAGCGAGGGTGGAGAAGGGACAGAGAAGTTTATTTCCATAGTCTAGCCATGCTCATAAGAACTCCACAGTGATGATTGGTTTTTTTGGTTTTTTTTTTTTCAACTTTACTCTGAAATAACTTACAGAACTTCAGAGGATCATAAATTTAGACCAATTTCCATGATACAACAGAATATTCAGTTGAAAATTGATTCTCTTGGAAAGTTGAATGAGCCAATTTAGAGAAGACAGACCCCTTTTATTTACAAATGTTAGACCCTTCTTATTTTAGAAACTAAAATCAAATAAAATCTAAATAGATCCTCAAAAAACAACGAAAGTGGTCTTGTACACTCAGTATCTCTCGTTTTAGAATCCTTTAGTTAGCTATACTCACAGAAAGCTATCAGGGTTCTTTTTCATACTTTTCCAATCAGAGATAAAAGGGAAAAAGAGAAAATAGAGTGATTCAAGGTAAAACTTTAGAAATTAGGCAGTTATTTGAACCTTTGTCAAGATATTTTTTTCTACTTTATGAGTAAGTTTGACATTTAATAGCTCTTGGAATGTCCTGAAAATATATGTATCCTTAAAAATATAATTAAGACTTGTAGGCCAGGTGTGGTAGCTCATGCCTGTAATCCCAGAGGCTCAGGAGGCTGAGGCAGGAGGATCTTGAGTTCAAATAGAGCCTTAGCAATTTTGAGAGGCCCTAAGCAACTAAGCAAGACTCTATCTTAAAATAAAATATAAAAAGGGCGGGGGATGTGGCTTAGTGTTTAAGAGACTCTGGTTTCAATCCCCAGTACCAATAATAATCACACACACACACACACACACACACA